TAGATCCCTCTGCAAGGCCTCTTGTCCCTCAAGAGAGTCAACAGCACCTCCCAGTTTGGTATCATCAGCCAACTTGCTAATGGTGCATTCAGCTCCTGCATCCATATTGTTGATAAATATATTGAACAGGACTGGCCCTAGAACTGAACCCTGAGGAACACCGCTGGTGACTGGTTGCCAGCAAGATGCAGCCCCATTTGCTACAACACTTTGAGCTCTGCCGTTCAGCCAGTTCTTCACCCAGCGCACCGTGAACCCGCTCATCCCACAGTTGGACAACTTGTCCAGAAGGATGCTGTGAGGGACAGTATCAAAACCCTTACTAAAATCCAGGAAAACTACATCCACTGCCTTCCTTTCATCGACTAGGCGGATGACCTTATCATAGAAGGATATCAAATTAGTTAAACAGGACTTTCCCTTTGTGAACCCATGTTGACTGTGCCTGATGATTGCATTATTCTTTAAATACCTTTCAATGGTACCCAGTATAATCTTCTCCGTAATTTTTCCAGGAACTGAGGTTAGACTAACAGGTCTGTTGTTCCCTGGGTCTTCCCTCACGCCCTTCTTATAGATGGGAATAACACTGGCCAGCTTCCAGTCAGCAGAGACTTCTCCAGACTCCCAAGACCTTTGGTAGATGATCGAGAGGGGTCCTGCCATAACAGCCGCTAGATCCTTCAGCCCTCTGGAGAGGGGTCCTGCCATAACAGCCGCTAGCTCCTTCAGCACTCTGGGATGAATCCCATCAGGCCCCGTGGACTTGTGATACAGCTGGTCCCTTAAAATTTCAGTGTCCACAAATGGAAAGTTGCTGTTCCCACACTCATGGTCCTGCGACTCAGGGGACCGTGCAGCCCAAGGTTTACTAGTATTATTAAAGACTGAGGCAAAAAAAGCATTGAATGCCTCCGCTTTTTCTTCATCCCTATTAGTCAGATGACCATCTTCAACAAGTATCAGTCCAATGTTTTCTTTAGACCTCCTCTTGCTGTTAACATACTTAAAAAAACCTTCTTGTTATCTGAAACAACACTGGACGGTTTCAACTCTGAGCTTTGGCCTTTCGTGTCTTCTCTCTGCACAAACAAACCACAGCTCTGCACTCTTCCTGCGAAGCCTAACCTCGTTTCCAGAGATCATACAATTTCTTTTTCCTCTTGAGCTCCACAAGGAGTTCCCTGTTCAGCCAAGCTGGTCTTCTGCCCCACTTGCTTGACTTACAACACAGTGGAATTGCCCACTCCTGTGCTTCTAAAGGGTGGTTCTTAAAGACTGGCCAGCACTCGTGGACTCCCAAGCCCTCAAAAGAGGATTCCCAGGGTACTCTGCTAAATAGCTCCCTGAAGAGCTTAAAGTTTGCTCTCCTGAAGTCCAGGGTAGCAACTCTGCTGTCCTTTTTTCTCATTACACTGAAAATTTTAAACTCTACCATTTCATGATTGCTGTGGCCAAGACAGCCACCTACCATCCATGCCCCACAAGTTCTTCTCTATTCACAAACAGCAAGTCTAGAAGGGCATCTTTCTTAGCTGGTTCACTGAGTACCTGTGACAAGCAGTTATCTCCTACAAACTTGAAGAATTTCCAACACCTGCTTGGCACAGCAGGATGATATTCCCAGTTGATGTCTGGGAAGTTGAAATCTCCCAAAAGGACAAGGGCTACTGATCCAGAAATTTCTCCTAATTGCCTATAGAATAACTCATCAGTGCTTACATCCTGGCTGGGCGATCGGTAGTACACATGCACTACAACTACTCCTTTGTCTTCCATTCCCCTAATCCTCAACCACATCATCACTATCTGTAAGGGCTGTACAATCAAACCTCCCTCGTACGTATAATGTGACACCTCCATCTCGCCTGCCCTGCCTATCCCTCCTGAACAGCCTGTAGCCCTCCATCCCAGCACTCCAATTGTGGGACTCATTCCACCAAATCGCGCTAGTACTAATGATACCGTAGCTCTGGGAGCTCACCAACGCTTCATCCTGTTTGTTGCTCATACTGCGTGCGCTGCTGTACAGACATTTCAGATACGCTCCTGAGCCTGAGCCCCCCGTGTTCCCAGGAGCAGTGTAAATGTTCCCACTAGCATTGCCACCCTCCAGCGAAGCCATGCCAACCCTTGGCTTACCTACTGCACTCCTCTTGGTATCCCCTTCCCGCATCAATTCTAGTTCAAGGCTCTCTCAAAGTAAAATTAACAGTGACATTAAAAAAATTGGAGCAGGATCACTGACATTTCCTGTGTTAGACTAGAGGTGTTTTTCCACCTGGATAACTTACATTGCCAAAAAGAAGGAAAGAAATCTTCACTAACCTTTGCAATCTTCCAATGAATACAAGAACCTTTTAAACCTTTTTTCAGCTTGTTTGTTGG